AGAAGAGTCTATGCAGAAAATAGTATGGTCCGACACTGACCGGGATTGGGTGTGTGTGGTGTGAGTGTGGTCGGGCTAATGTCGGATAAGGCTGCCTCTGTTGATTGAACAAGCAGACTTGACGTAATTGCTGGATGTCATAAAATCATTGATATCAGGAGTTTGAGAGGCTGGCCAGCCACCTGATTTCATGGCTGGGAAGTCTTCTTAAGATAAATGGCATGAATCCTTCTGAAAGATAGAGAGGGAAAAAGGAACAAGAATAATGAATTTTATGAACAAGCTTAGTTAACAATGAGTCTCATAACGTGACAGCAGCTGAACCAACAACGGACACATAGGGGACTCAATATATTGATCAATACACCAATCACGTTGCCCGGCGAGCAACACGCATAAACGGTCCCCAACTCCCAACTTCAGAAGCTGCCTCATGCTTGCGAAACGGTTGTCGTCCGTCATTTCCTATATAGCAGTCCCTGTAGTCCACTGAATAACATATGTTCCGGGCCATTTATAACGGGCCAAGCCGCTTGAACGGCGGCTGTGGAGCCTATGACCAATTCACGACAGCAAGTTAATTCTAGAACCTTCTGTGGAGGCATATTAGAAAGATATAAGGCACCGTGATTATGTCAGGGCGTATGTATACTTCCTTTTCTTCTTCATCTTGATAGTAAACAGCTTAGAGACTAGTTAGTTGAATCAACTTAGTAGAGGCCCTTCACATTGTCCCTCATCAATAGTCATGCTGCCCCCTTGACGTAGACGCGTTTTTCTGGCTTTACGCCGCTTGCTTAATAGTGCATATCGCGAGTGGGCTGTCTCGAACATCATGTAAAGAGTATGCATGTCGGTCGAATGCCTCTCAGATAAACGGTGTGATCAGAACGAGAGATACATGCATCATCAATACCACGCTTCAGCAATCTGTAGCCAATTCAGCCAGCTGTGAGGGAACAGTCCCACTTTTAGGACCTAGATAGCTCGAGTCAGAGCTTCCTTTGGAAGCTCTTACCCTCCTTGCGAACAATCGCTTTATCCAAGTCACACTCGACCTTGTTCGTGCCCTTGTACCGTCACACCAGCCACGGATGCCGTTCATACAAGGACGGTGTGACGGTACAACGGCAGGAGCGGGGTCCAGTGCGACGTGATTGTTCACAGGGAGAGTAGGAGCATCCAAAGGAAGCTCCAATTCAAGCTATCTAGGTCCTAAAGTGGCGCCACTTGCATTTTCCAAGCTTCGAACTTGCCGCCCTCTAGCCACGAGCCGTCTTGAGAATCTGCGTTATTACACGTCATGGTCTCAGACAAATAGGTTCCGAATAGCTATAACACTCACATATAAAATATTATTATTACGACCGCTACTGGTACTATTGTGGCGTCAACATCACGACAGCAATTCTGATTTGTTTCAACGCCAAGTCTGTCTTATTCGCTTGTCCCATTACAGACCAGATGGCCATTGGCACCTGATCAAGTTTGAGGCCGTTGAGGTGACACAGGGCGTTCGGTCGAGATGATCAAACCAACGGCGACAACCAGAAGGTCTATGTATGTTTTAAGATCTTCATTGCCGGCGGTGTTATTATCGGCTCTCAGTTTGGCCCTGACCGCCTTCCTGCCCCGCCCTTTCCACGCCTAGTTTCATCAATTATTCGTCTATTGTGCGCTCCGTCGTTGTCGACCGTTTCAAGCTATCAACTTTACCAACAGGCTGCTCCATTCTACTCCAGCTTCTCGAGAGCGAGAACGAGGAGACCGCCGACGCATCTCGACACGACCACAAATCGCTACTTTCACTCCTGCCCGCGTCGTACCACAAGGAGTCCAGTGACTTGGCCTCTGGTGGCCAGCATGTCGCGGCCTGCGTTGCGCGGGAGCTAGACCTGCACCGGCTTGCCAGCACCGCAGCTGGCTCCGGGTCGCCGGTGTGCCCCTGCCACCGCGACCTCTGCACCACCAGGTCTTGCTCGGCCTGGAGATCATTGTGACGGATCGGATAGATATATCGTCTCATCTGGACGACCGGCCGGATGTTCCTCAAGCCGGCCCCCCTTCCTTTTGGAGCCGGCGTTTTGGGGCCGGGGGGTTAGGGTTTGGGCCGAATATCTCAGCTGCGCTCCTGGCAACGAT